TCCCTCCCAGATGGTTTTGCTGCTCGGTTGGCTGAGTTGAGAAGCAACACTCCCTTGAATCTTAGGTGAATCCAGACCTACAAACCCTTGATCTGTGATGCTGTCCAAGAACTATCAACTTGCTCCCCCAGAGGTGGTCTATACCACTGGTTTCTCACCCTGGTAGCAATCCAGTTCCACCCATACAGAAGAATCTAGAACCACCAGTCTTTTCCTCTTGGGTGATCCAGAATTCCGGTGAGACTCAGGAATTGGGTTCATAAAGGGATCTCAGGAGGGAGCACAGAAGCAGAGGAATTAAGGTCCAGGATGTCCATGGTGGGTCACCAGGCATAGCAGAACCTTACCACCTAGTCAGGTACCCAGCAGACCTGTTGGTTTTCAAGAACACGTGCCCCCATCCCAGGAGAGAACCCTATCTCTCCATCTTGCTACCTCGGGGAAGGGGGCACACATGGGGAGGGGGACACCAGTTTGCATCATGGAGGCAGGGTCAGCGCCAGGGTTGGTGTGAGAACTCGGGGGCTGGAAGCCCCATCTTCTGTCTCCTCCCCGTTCCCTTCCTCAGCCTCATCGTCCTCATCTTCCTCCTGGCAGCAGCTCAGAGCAAGTTCATTTTCATAACAAAATGCAGTCAGAGAGCCAGGGAAGCTAGACTTGAGGCTGTGGGAAGCCTGCTCTGCCCGTTCATCCAGCTCCTTAGCACTGCAGACCGGCGTCCCTGGGACCTCGTAAGTGCGATGGAAGTGGCGATAATCGACCTCATACTGGGAGCCACGCTGGAAGAGAACTGGCTCAAAACGATGGCCCCAGAGCAGTTCACCAGGGAGGTAGGATGAGCGACACTGTGTGGTCATGGCTGTGGCCTCAACCATCCCCTCGAGAATGACCACCAGCTCGAAGTCAGCCCTGGCCAGCTCAGCACGTCCTAGCTCATACAGAGGACTGGCCGAGTCGATCTCATGGACGATGGTGATGGGGGACACGAGGAAGATACGATCGGTGCCTCCATCAAAGCCCACGTCCACATCCTGGTGGTCCAGCGGGATGTACTCCCCCTCTGGGGTCACACGAGGCTGCAGCAGGAGGCAAAGAGCCAAAGAAAAGAGAGCAGGGAGCAGAGACAGGCAGAGATGGAGAGAGAGAGAAGAAGAGATGCAGAGAAAGAAGGCAAAGACCACAGGAGTGAAGGAAAGGGTGAGAACACGAATCCAGAGATGGGGCCGGCAACCCAGAGAGAGAGGAAGTCAGAGACACAGGTGAGGGCACAGAAACCCAGCGAGAGGGAGCCAGAGACCCAGGAGGGGAGGATGGAGGTCCAGAGAAAGCATGGAATGGGACAGACCCAGAGATAAAGGGAGAGGAAAGAGACTCAGGGTTTGGGAATAGAAAATGGGAAGAGGGGCGTGGCAGGGGAAGAGAAGGAGGAGAGAGGGGCAGAGTGATATTGGCATAGACACAGAAATCACCAAGACAGAGATGAAATCGAGGAGACAATGGAAAATAAGGATGACATCCAACAGAGAATTGGAGGAGAGGGAGAGAAAAATGGCTTTTAGTATGTGGCCAGAGAAAGAGAAACCAGATAATAAGAAGGCAGAGTTAGGACGACCGAGGTCCGACACTCTGCAGCCACCGCTGCCTCAGGCTTATCCCTGGGCCCTCCCCTGAGCTATCCTAGCTGCCAGCCCAACTGCAAGCCCCTCCCTGGCATTGTGCATGTGGACACGCTTTGGGGGGGTCTGGGTATGTTGCCCCTGCGTACCAGCTGGGTCCACAGCCACCTCCCAGGCCATGTCACTGCCCCACAGACTTCTGCAATAGCCAGTGTCCCTCCTTGTCATGAATTCTGGCATCTCAAATCGTCAGGGAGGAGACAGAAGTGGGAGGTGGGCACCTATCCTCCTCTTGTAACTGTCTCTGGGAGCCCCAAGTAAAGGAATCCTAGAGGCGGCTGGGAGTTGCAGCTTCCACTACCCCCAATTCTCTCCAAGTCAAGCCTCAGCCCAGAGTTCTAAAGTCACTTTACAGCCAGGCTCAATGGGTCACGCCTGTAATCACAGCACTTTGGGAGGCCACGGCAGTGGATCACCTGAGGTCAGGAGTTCAAGATCAGCCTGGCCAATGTGGCGAAACCCCGTCTCTCCTAATAACACAAAAATTAGCCAGGTCTGGTGGCAGGCATCTGTAATCCCAGCTATTCTGGAGGCTGAGGCAGGAGAATCACTTGAAACCAGGAGGCGGAGGTTGAAGTGAGCCAAGGTCATGCCACTGTACTCCAGCCTGGGTAACAGAGCAAAACTCCATCTCATAAAAAAATGAATAAAGTCACTTTACTTGGGCAAGGGCAGCTACTGGCCCAGAGTTTCTTGGGAACGGAGATGTTTGAGCAATTTGACCATAATTCTAGGACCACTAAAGCCCCTTCCTCAGGGCGCAGGAGGAAGCCACTACCCCAGGGGCCAGTGGGAGGTGCAGTTTTGTTTGGTTCCCAGTGGGAACCAAACTCAGAGGGCTGGAGGCTGGTGGGACACAATGGGCCACTGACGCGTATTCTCCCACGGATGCCGCAGGACCCCATGCCTAGAAGCCTGGAGAGCTGTGCTCCACAGTGATGAGCTGCACCCATCCTGGGGCCTGCCTCTCCCGGGGGCCTCAAGTCGCAGGCCCCGGTCTGTGCCACAGTGTCTGGTGGGAATTGTACACCTGAGCAATAGAACGGTCACTCACCTCCGCCCCCCGCAAAACTGCATCTCAGACCATCTTTGGGCAGGTCCCTTGACTCAGAAGCTTCTGGGAATTACAGCCCAGAGCCTCCACAGGCCACGCGTGGCCCTCTCGGGTCTACACTCCCCACAATCCCACAGGCGGCCCATCCTCAAGCCACAGGAAGCTCTATATGCCGCAAGTCCAGGCCTCCAGGAAGAGCTGGTCACAGACCTCTCTCTTGGGTTTACCTCCCCAGTTGCTCAGCAACCCCTCCGCACTCCACAGACCCCTGCCCCCAGAGGCTGCTGGGAGTTGTAGTTCATGACCCCTTCAGGACCGCACACCCCTCGCTCCCGGGCCTACATCTCCCACAACCCCCGAGGGCTCGCGGAAGGCTACGCTCCGCCTCCCCTCCGCACCTGCAGCAGCTGGGCCCGCACGTGGGCCTCCACCAGGTGGCTGCGGCGCAGGTTGCCGACGCGCCACATGAGGCAGAGGCGGTGGTCGCGCAGCGCCACGACGGCGTTCTCGCTGAAGACCAGCGTCTCGTTGCGCTTCTTGGGTTTGGCCATCTTGGCCATGACGGCGCCCACGACGAAGGCGTCGAGCACGCAGCCGGCGATGCACTGCAGCACCACGGCGGCCACGGCGGCCGGGCACTCCTCGGTGACGCTGCGCACGCCGTAGCCGATGGACGTCTGCGTCTCCAGCGCGAAGAGGAAGGCGGCCAGGAAGCTGGCCACGTGCGAGAAGCAGGGCGCGGGCGGTGGCGGGGCGGCCAGGTCGCCGTGCAGCGAGGCGATGAGCCAGAAGGCCAGGCCAAAGAGCAGCCAGGAGGCAAGGAAGGAGCAGGAGAAGAGCAGGCACATCCAGCGCCAGCGCACGTCCACGCACGTGGTGAACAGGTCGCTCAGGTAGCGCGCGCCCTGGCCGCCCAGGTTCACGAAGCGCACGTTGCAGTGTCCGTCCTTCTTGACGAAGCGACCGCGGCTCCGGCCCACCGGTGACTGCACCGGCGCCGGTGCCCACCCGTTGCGGCACAGACCCGGTGCGGCCTCCTCTTCATCGCCAGCCCGGCTGTCTCCTGAATCCAGGACGCCGCTGAGGCGGCGTAGGGCCCTGGCCAGGCCCATTGGGCGGAGGGACCCCCTCCACTTGGCCTACTGGGGGGCGGGCGCCCCCAACCTGCTGGAACAAGAAACCGGCAAAAACGTGAGGGGCTCCACGAATGGGTGAGCTCATCAGCCAGGCATGCTCTCCAGTGGGGCTTGGTGTCCTCATCTGTCAAATGGGTGGAACTATACTCACTATTTTTTTTTTTTGGAGGTGGAGTCTAGCTCTGTCATCCAGGCTGGAGTGCAGTGGCGCGTTCTCGGTTCACTGCAACCTCCACCTCCCGGGTTCAAGCGATTCTCCTGCCTCAAGTTCCTGAGTAGCTGGGACCACGGGCACACATCACCACACCAAGCTAATTTTTCTATTTTTAATAGAGATGGGATTTCACCATGTTGCCCAGGCTGGTCTCGAATTCTTGATCTCAGGCAATCCGCCCACCTTGGCCTCCTAAAGTGCTAGGATTACAGGCATGAGCCAACGGTATTTTATTTTTAATGAGACGGAGTCTGGCTCTGTTGCCCAGGCTGGAGTGCAATGGTGCAGTCTCGGCTCACTGCAACCTCCACCTCTTGAGTTTAAGTGATTCGCCTGCCTCAGCCTCCCAAGTAGCTGGGATTACAGGCGCGTGCCACCACACCCAGCTAGTTTTTTGTATTTTTAGTAGAGACGGGTTTCACACGTGTTAACCAGGATGGTCTCAATCTCCTGACCTCGTGATCTGCCCGCCTCAGCCTTCCAAAGTGCTGGGATTACAGGTGTGAGCCACCACAGCCGGCTGCCACCTTCTTTTTAAAAATGTTTTATTAATTTAATTTTTGTTTTATAGAGACAGGGACCTTGCTGTATTTCCCAGGCTGGTCTCGAACTCCTGGCCTTAAACGATCTTTCCTCAGCCTCCAAAAGTGCTATCTCACCCGGCCCATACTCACCTTCCAAGTTGGAAGATGCAGGATAAACAGCAATAATACTATCAGTAGATACTTGTATAACAACGGGAAATACTATAACAATATTATAGCAGGTGCCACAGTTAATTACAGCACGCATTTATACAGTGCTAAATTTATGTATTGAATTTATCATTTGTGTCATATCAATTATGCTGTTTATACAGTCTGGAGGGTTTTTTTTTTTTCGGAGATGGAGTCTAGCTCTGTTGCCCAGGCTGGGATGCAATGGCGCAATCTTGGCTCACTGTAACCTCTGCCTCCTGGGTTCAAGTGATTCTCCTGTCTCAGCCTCCTGTGAAGCTGGGATTACAGGCATACCCCACCACACCTGGCTAATTGTTGCATTTTTAGTAGAGATGGGGTTTCACCATGTTGGGCAGACTGGTCTTAAACTCCTGACCTCTGGTGATCTGCCACCTCAGCCTCCCAAAGTGCTGGGATTCCAGGCGTGAGCCACCTCGCTGGGCCAGTTTGGAGGCTGTTGTAAGCACTTTACATGATTTTACGTATTAGAGCCTCAGAGCAGGCCTATGAGGCAGACATCATTATCCCCATTCTATAGATGAGGAAACTGAAGCACAGAAAGTTTAAGTAACTTCCCCAAGACCACAGTTCAGTAAACTGGGATTTGAGTGCTAGCGGTCCAGCTCCAGAGGCCATACTCAGAACTGTAACTGTAAGGTGTGGCTGCTTCTTGGCACGGAGAGATGCCTCAGGGCTCTGAGGTCAGCTGTGGTTCAAGAACAGGCTCACAAAGTAACAAAAGGAAAAACTTACATCAACTGAATTGAATCCGAACCCCGCAAGTGCCATGGCAAGGTCTGAAGCCTCAGCCTGTTCCCATATAAATATTTAGAAAAGAATTAGAAATGTAGGCACATAGTTATTCCTTTATATAATCATATATAAGTTTATAGTTACTTATAATCATAAAGATATATACTCAATATAACCTTTAGTTTTTATTTTTATTTATTTTATTTATAAAGATGGGGTTTCACCATGTTGGTCAGGCTGGTCTTGAACTCCCGACCTCAGGTGATCTGCCCGCCTTGGCCTCCAAAGTGCTTGGATTACAGGCATGAGCCACCGCGCCCGGCCTACCTTTAGTTTTACTAATGACTATTGGGTAATGAAGCATGGAAATGAGGTGACATTGTGAACAAAGTGACCCTAAGGCAAGATGCTCTAAGCCCTCTGTCATGTCCCCATAAGGGCTGCAGGAGGGCGCCTCGGCTGTGTGGCAGCGCCAGCGCTGGGAAAGCGCCCGCTGTTTAGCCAGCTAGGGAAGGAGACGTCCAAAATGGCTGAGACATCTCCTTCCTGGGGAAGTTAGGAGAAAACTCCACTCCCCCAAGGTCTTGTGGCAAGTCCTGACGGCCGTCAGGGAAACCCACAGACATCTGGGGACTGAACTGTGTCTATGTGACGCTGTGCTTCAGTGGTCACGTTCCATGTCTGCTCTCACGCTCCGCTTCTGCACCTGGTTTCTCTTTTCCTTAAAAGCTACGAATTAATAATGGTAACATCATCTTAGTGTCCTTGATATTTGTGACAAATATGCGAAGAGCGCTGACACATTAGCTTTTTTCCTCGCCTTGGCTACTTGAAAGTCTTAGGCCCCTATCTTCAAGACGTGATTTACCTGACCCTATCACTGACCACCATGACCTCGCCCTACCTTCCCTGCCCCCTGCTTTGTACTCAGTAAAAGAGCATCCAACCGCTCGGGGCCACTGCAGGTCTCTGCTCTTTGGCTGGCACCAAGCCCAAACTCTCTTCTCTATCTCTGTGTCTTTTATGTCTGCAGTCTCTTGTCTCTGCACCAACAGGGAGGGGCTCACAGGACCCTATAGGGCTGGACCCTAGAAATCAGAACTAAAAACTTTTTTTTTGAGATGGACTCTCAGTCTGTCACCGAGAATGGAGTGCAGTGGCACACTCTCAGCTCACTGCGATCTCTGTCTCCTGGGTTCAAGGGGTTCTCCTGCCTCAGCCTCTTGAGTAGCTGGGATTACAGGCATGTGCCACCACACCTGGCTCATTTTTGTATTTTTAGTAGAGATGGGGTTTTGCCATGCTGGCCAGGCTGGTCTTGAACTCCTGACCTCAAGTGATCCTCCTGCCTTGGCCTCCTAAAGTATTGGGATTACAGGCATGAGCCACTGCACCCGGCCAGAACTAAAAAACCTTCGTGCTCCCAAACATTATCAATAAAGTGAAGAAAGGCCAGGTGAGGTGGTACACACCTGTATCCTAGCGCTTTGGGAGGCTGAGGCAGAAGGATCACTTGAGCCCAGGAGTTCATGACCAGCCTGGGCAACATAGCAAGGGTCTTTAAAAAATAAAAAATTGCCGGGCGCGGTGGCTCAAGCCTGTAATCCCAGCACTTTGGGAGGCCGAGGCGGGTGGATCACGAGGTCAAGAGATCGAGACCATCCTGGTCAACATGGTGAAACCCCGTCTCTACTAAAAAAAATACAAAAAATTAGCTGGGCATGGTGGCGCGTGCCTGTAATCCCAGCTACTCAGGAGGCTGAGGCAGGAGAATTGCCTGAACCCAGGAGGCGGAGGTTGCGGTGAGCCGAGATCGCGCCATTGCACTCCAGCCTGGGTAACATGAGTGAAACTCCGTCTCAAAAAAATAAATAAATAAATAAATAAATAAAAATAAAAAATTAGCCAGATGTAATGATGCAAACCGGTAGTCCTAGTTACTTGGAAGGCTGAGGTGGGAGGATCATCTAAGCCCAGGAGTTTGAATTAAGACTGCGCCACTGCACTCCAGCCTGGGCAAAAGAGCGAAACTTTGTCTCACAAAGTTTTTTTACAAAAGGGAAAAGACAACCCACCAATGGGAGAAGATACTGTAGTTGCAAATCATATACTTGATGAGGAACTTGTATCTAGACTATATAAAGAGACCTTGCAACTCAACAATGAAAAGATAAATAACGCCTTTTTTATTTTTTTTGAGTTGGAGTCTCGCTCTGTCACCCAGGCGGGAGAGCAGCGGTGCAATCTCAGCTCACTGCAACCTCCACCTCCTGGGTTCAAGAGATTCTGCTGCCTTAGCCTCCGGAGTAGCTGGGATTATAGGCTCGCACCACCATGCCCAGCTAGTTTTTGTATTTTTAGTAGAGACAGGGTTTCACCATGTTAGCCAGGCTGGTCTTGAACTCTTGGCCTCAAGTGATCTAACCACCCTAACCTCCCAAAGTGCTGGGATTACAGGTGTGAGCTGCTGTGTTATGCCCAGCCCAAATAACCCAATTTAAAAGTGGGCAAAGGGGACCAGGCACAGCAGCTCATGCCTGTAATCCTAACACTTTGGGAGGCTAAGGCAGCTGGAACACTTGAGCTCAGGAGTTCGAGACCAGCCTGGCCAACATGGTGAAATCCTGTCTCTACTAAAAATCCAAAAATCAGCTGGCCTGCTGGTGCATGTCTATCGTTCCAGCTACTCCGGAGGCCAAGGCACAAAAACAACAACAACAACAAAAAAAGCAGTCAAAGGATCTGTACAGACACTTCTCCTAAGAAGGTCTACAAATGGCTAACAAACATACGAAAAGACGCTCCACATCATTAGCCATCAGAGAAATGCAAGTCAAAACCACAAGGGAATACCACTTTGCACCCACTTAGAATGGCTATAATAGGCCAGGTGCAGTGGTTCACACCTGTAATCCCAGCACTTTGGGAGGCTAACGTGGGCGGATTCCTAGGTCAGGAGTTCGAGACTAGTCTGACCAACATGGTGAAACCCCATCTCTACTAAAAATACAGAAAATTAGCTAGGCGTGGTGGCACGCGCCTGTAATCCCAGCTACTCAGGAGGCTGAGGTTGCAGTGAGCCGAGATCGCGCCACTGCACTCCAGCCTGGGCGACAGAGCAAGACTCTGTCTCAAGAAACAAACAAACAAAGGCTATAATAATCATAAATAAAAAACTGTTGGCAAGAAGGTGGAAAAATTGGCACCCTCTTACGCTGCTGGGGGGAATGGAAAATTCCAGCTGCTGTAGGAATCAGTCTGGCAGTTACTTAAACGGTTAAACACAGAATTACCACATCACCCAGCAATTGCATTCCTATTTATGTACCCAAGAGAAATGAAAACAGATGCAAAAACTTGTACACAAATGTTCACAGCATTACTCATAATAGCCAAAAGGTGGAAACCCAAACATCAACCAACTAATGAATACATAAAATGTGATATATTCATCCAAAGAATAGTACTTGACAATAAAGAGAAATGAAGTATTGATAGATGCAACATGAATAAACCCTGAAACATTATGCTGGCCGGGTGCAGCGGCTCACGCCTGTAATCCCAACGCTTTGGGAGGCCCAGGTGGGCGGACCACCTGAGGTCAGCAGTTCGAGACTAGCCTGGCCAACGTGGTGAAACCCTGTCTCTACTAAAAATATGAAAATTAGCTGGGTGTGGTAACAAGCACCTATAATCCCAGCTACTTGGGAGGCTGAGGCAGGAGAATCACTTGAACCCAGGAGGCGGAGGTTGCGGAGCTGAGATTGCACCAGTGCACTGCAGCCTGGGTGACAAGGCCAGACTCCATCTCAAGGAAAAACAAAACAAAGAAATTGTGATGGCTGCACAATTGTGTACACACCAAACGCCACTGCATTGTACACTGAAATGAGTGCATCACATGTGAATTAGACTCTGATGAAGCTATTGTAAAATAAATGAAATGGGCTCATGCCTGGCCCTCTGGTCTTTGGCGTCCTTTCTGAGTGATCAGGATCTTTCTGAGTGATCAGGAAGGGCCTTCTTATCATGTAGACCCAGAGCCCAGTCCTGGCTTAGTTGCTCACCCGCTATGTGCCCTGGGATCTCTGGCTTCCTTTTCCAGAGACTGAATTTGGTCAGCCATTTACTAGGTGTGTGACTGAGGACGGGTCACATCCTTTCCTGAGCCCCAGCTCTCTCATCTGTGAAATGCAGGAGGCCTGGGGGCTGGGAATGGTGGCTCACACCTGCAATCCCAGCACTTTGGGAGGCCAAGGTAGGAGGATTGTTTGAACGGGGGAGTTCGAGACCAGCTTGGGCAACCTAGCAAGACCCTACCTTAAAACAAAAATTATCCAGCCACAATGACACAACTACTCTGTAGGCTGAGGTGAGAGGATCACTTGAGCCCAGGAGTTCAAGGCTGCAGTGAGCTATGATTGCACCACTGCACTGCAGCCTGGGCAACAGAGCAAGATCCTGTCCCTTTAAAAAAAAAAAAAAAGAGGCAGGCACAGTGGCTCACACCTGTAATCCTAGCACTTGGGGAGTCCAACTCGGGAACTCAGGAGGATTGCATGAGACCAGGGGTTTGAGACCAGCCTGGACAAGATGGTGAAACCCTGTCTCTAAAAAATAAATAAATAATAAAAAATAGGCCGGGCGCGGTGGCTCACACCTGTAATCCCAGCACTTTGGGAGGCCGAGGTGGGTGTATCACGAGGTCAAGAGATCGAGACTATCCTGGCCAACGTGGTGAAACCCCGTCTCTACTAAAAATACAAAAATTAGCTAGGCATGGTGGTGCACACCTGTAGTCCCAGCTACTCGGTAGGCTGAGACAGGAGAATTGCTTGAACCTGGGAGGCGGAGGTTGCTGTAAGCCGTGATCGTGCCAGCCTGGCACCTGGCGACAAAGCCAAACTGTCTCAAAATAATAAAATAATAATAATAATAATAAATAGCTGGGTGTGGTGGTTCACACCTGTAATGCCTGCACTTTGGGAGGCTGAGGCGGGTGGATCATGAGGTCAGGAGTTTGAGACCAGCCTGGCCAAGATGGTGAAACCCTGTCTCTACTAAAAATACAAAAATAAGCCGGGCATGGTGGCATGTGCCTGTAATCCCAGCTACCCAGGAGGCTGAGGCAGGAAAATGGCTTGAACCCAGGAGGCGGAGGTTGTTGCAGTGAGCCGAAATCGTGCCATTGCACTCCAGCCTGGGCGACACATCGAGACTCCATCTCAAAACAAAATTATAAAGGAAGAAATGGAGGGAATCCCAGCAGCCTGTCAGGCTGGAGGAAAGGAAAGGGCAGGATGTGGACCCGCACATCTCATTGGCTTCAGGGTTAACTAAGGTTAACCAACGCTTGGCCCTGTGGTGAGGGGACTTCCCAGGAACTGGCTGGATTAGGACAAACCATACTGGGGTTACAGAATTTGCATATCAATTCCACCAACATTCCCCAAGTGCCTATGTACCACGTGTCCATGTCCGTTGTGCCAGGACCTGGGGATCCTCATGGGGTTGTTGGCAGGGCCTGGCACACTCCATTTGGGAAGACCATGAGACGATGTCACCTTTGGCACTGACTGGGTCTCCCCAAGCCGTGCGGTTCCTGCTTGCACCACCTGGGCAGCCTTGCCATTCGGGGGTTCGTTAGGTCCACTGGACAGAGGAAAGCTGAGGCTGACGTGAGAGGGGACCACGCCTGGCTGTGCCCAGTGCCCGAAATGTACCCCATCCTTGGCTCTGTCTCAGCCTCACCAGCCCTGCATGTTAGGGGAAGTAGGCTCGGTGCCCACGGGGGCAGTCTGGAAGTCAGCATCCAGGACCCAGTGCCTATACATGCAGCCCTGCCTGGCCCGGGGAGCCCCACTCTGCGCTGGTTCCACCTTCAGGAACCCCCTCCCCCACAGGCTAGGGGAGGTGAGCGGGCACTGACGCTGACCTGTGCTCCCCTGTCCCCCAGCCTGGGCCTCACACCCCTACTTGCCCATCTCTCACCAAAGCCCTTTGATGAAGGGACCTGGCTATTCACAGAAAAGCCAACTGAGGCTCAGGTCAGTCCCTTGTCGCAGGCCCCTCAGCTAGTGGGGAGAGGGGTGGCAGAACCCAGCCTCCCACCCAGGCCTCCCGGGAGCTGCAGCCCGAGTGCCAAACCACAGTCTTCCTGAACGCACTCTGGCTCACACACACCCAGTACGTCCGAGGCCTCAAGATGAGACCCCACTGGACCCCTCAGACCCCATGCTCACCTTGACTGCTCGGGATGCCGGGAGGTGAAGATCATCACCCCCTTTCACAGTCAGGAAACAGGCTCTGGGAACGCCATGAGCTGGCCAGGGCCCCACCCCCAGTGCCAGGGGGAATGCTGGTTGGGTCCTCAGCCTTTCTTTCCTTTCCAGAACTCTGCCCCTGAAATCCTCCGGTCCCACCTCAGCCCTGTGAAGCAGACCTGTGTCTACCTCCCAAAGCCGATGGGAACCTTCACCAGGGGGCTGTCTGCGGCCAACATGGTCCAGCTCCCAAGCTGGCTGCTACTCGGGCTCAGGGCACCCCCTCCCCGGCAAAATCAGGGCAGGAGGGAAAGGGATCCTCCACCTGACCTGCGAGAGCAGCTTAATGTTTCCATATAAAGGAGACACAGGGCTTAAGGTGCTTCAACTTCGTCTCAAAGTCACTGTCTAATCTGAGGCCAAGAAGCCCCGCCCCAGGCCCCACCCCCACCCCCACAAATCAACATATTGTCACTCTTCCCAAACCAGGGTGTTCCCTTCCACTCCCCACCTACCAGTGGAGGCTGGAAGGCAGGTTGGAAAGCAGAGACTGCAGAAAGTCAAGCAGGTGCAGACAGGAAGAGGGGTGTTGAGGGGGTACCCCGAGAAAAATACAGGGACCCAGCAGAACAGGGTCCCTGAGAGAGGGGGACAGAGGCCCAGGGCGGGGGACAGAGACCCAGAGGGAAGGGGACAGAGACCCAGAGAAAGAGGGGACACAGACCCAGAGAAAGAGGGGATACAGACCCAGAGAGGGTGGCAGAGACCTTGAGAGAGAGGGACAGAGACCCAGAAAGACAGGGACAGAGACCTAGATAGAGGGGGACAGAGACCTTGAGAGGACAGAGACCCAGAGAGAGGGGCACAGAGAACAGAGAGGTAGACAGGGCAATTGAGGAAACGTGAAAAGAGAAAAAAATGTTTTAAGAAATGACGACATGGGGAGATTAAACTGTGAAGGCAGAGAGGGAGAGAGGCAGAGACAGCAGAGAGACAGAGAGAGAAGCAGGCGATGGGAACCCATGAGAAAATGCAGAAAATGGCGATGGGGTGGGAGCTGCAGGCACCGACCCTGGGGGGTCAATTCTCCCGGCGCTGAGCCTGTTGCTGATGGGCAGACAGGGCCTCCCTGAGGGGGCCACGCTGAGGACAAGGATGCTGGAGCAGGGGTGGATGGGGGAACGCAGCAGAGCAGGAGGGGCTGGCTCGGCGGGGCCTTACGTGGAGGCACGTACCTGGTGGGGCGGCCCACCCCCATGCCCTCTGCTGGGGGCAGCCTCTGTGGTTGCCGAGGGGCTGTGGTCTGTCCTTGGCCCCAGGGGCCGTGAGCCGGCAGCGGACCTCGGAGTCCACAGATGATCAGAGGCCTGGACGGAGGGGGCAGGGGCGGGGCTAGCTCAGAGCCGCAGAGGGGGAGCCAGGGAGGCCGGCCAGGCAGGGCGGCTGGGCCACAGCCCAGGCAGGCTGGACAGGAGACAGCGGTGGAGGAGAGAGACGGCAACTAGGGGGCAGGGAGACTGGCAGTGGGGGACACAGAGAAGAAAGAAACGTGAGGTCATGATAAAGGGGAGGCAGAGGGAAGGAGAAATGGGGGCTCCCAAGTTACCGGAGCGGAAGGCTTCAGCAGCTGGGAGGCAGGGATGAGGCCCCTTTTACTGAGCCGGAGTGAGTGCGAGACGGAAGGACACTCAGAGAAAGAAGCCGGAGGCACGGGTGGGCGGGGGGAGGGTCGCGTTGCAGGGACTCCCAGTGGCCTCCCTCCCGCAGCCTAGCAGCTGGTGCCAAATTCCTCCCCGTCCTCAAACTCCCTCCAGTTTTCTCACGGGGCTGTGACCAAAGGACCAGTCTTGGCACACGCCTCAGACCTCTTCCTGGTCGTTTACTGCTGCCCAGGAGCCCGGCCTCCTCCCACACAGCACCACCCTCTGGTCAGGGAGGAGAGGAGGGGCCGCACGTAGCCCCCACACTGGGAAATCCTGGCCAAACCCAGCTGTTGGGAAGACAAGGGACAGAACCAAATTGTGCTGGAGGAACCCACACCTGACATTTGACGCAGACACTGCATCACTGCAGAAGCCCCGAGTTCCCTCCTGGGAACCAACAGACAAAACTGGGTCCTAAGCAGGGCGCGGTGGCTGACACCTGGAATCCCAGCACTTTGGGAGGCTGAGGTGGGAGGATCGCTTGATGTCAAGAGTTCGAGAGCAGCCTGGCCAACATGGTGAAACTCCGTCTCTACTAAATATGCAAAAATGAACCGGGCGTGGTGGCGGGCGCCTGTCATCCCAGCTACCGGAGAGGCTGAGGCGGGAGAATCACTTGAACCCAGGAGACGGAGTCGAGATCGTGCCACTGCACTCCAGCCTAGGCGACAGAGCAAGACTCCATCTCAAACAAACCAATGAAAAACTGGGTTCTGGGGCAGAGGTAAATGTGTCACGCTGACAGGAAGGAATCCACCGACACGCAGGCCACAGCAGTCTCTGGGGGGGAGCGGCCTTACAGAGCCCTGGTCAGACTGAGGTCTTTGGTGACAGGGGTCACTGCATCACACCCAGGCCTTCTTGAGAACAATCTGTCAAACAGAACCTTCACGGCAGCCCACGGCCGGCCAGTCCCAGTCAACAGACCTGAAGGAACCCCTTCCCGGGGAGCCCAACTTGACAGCAGTTTCTAAGCAGAAGGCAGGAGCAGCAGAGCCGCTGGGTGCTCAGACACTGATGGTGCGGAAGACAGTGAAGCCCGACAGCGCGGTGCTGACCAGGAGCCCCGGGCACTGCGGGTGCCAGTGCAGCTCCTTAAGCTCCGTCTCGCCCTGGTGCACGAACAGCAGCTGCTGCGGGAGGTCGGCCAGCCCGGGGTCGGCCTCTGCGTCGCCCGACTCAGGGTCCCGCTCCACTGCCAGGTCCCACTGTGTGATCTGGTTGTCTGCACCTGAGGCTGCGAAGACCCCGCTGTCCTGGGGGTGCCACTCGACAGAGGTCACGGGGGCCACATGCTGCTTGAAGGTGGCCACGGGGGAGCCAGACTAGAGGGACAGGATGGGAATGATGGCTCTGAATGCCTCAGCCTGACTCCTGGGGGGCGGCCCAGGCAGAACCCCAACCCCTCTCCAGACTCAGAGTTCAGCTAGGGCCCCACCCCTTAAGCCCTCACAGGTCCGGAGTCCAAGAAAGGGACACAGGGTAATTCTGGCTGCTAAGAAGGCTGACCAGTCCAGGGGCTGCTGGGAATTGGGGTTCACCTGCAAAGAAGCCCTTCTGAAACTTGGGTCACAAAACCTGAGAGGTGGCTCACGCCTGTAATCCCAACACTTTGGGAGGCCAAGGGAGGCGGATCACCTGAAGTCGGGAGTTCAAGACCCGCCTGACCAACATGGTGAAACCCCATCTCTACTAAAAATACAAAATTAGTCAGGTGTGGTGGCGCGCGCCTGTAGTCCCAGCTAGTCAGGAGGCTGAGGCAGGAGAATCGCTTGAACCCGGGAAAGAGAGGTTACAGTTAGCCGAGATCACGACATTGCACTCTGGGCAACAAGAGCGACACTCCGTCTCAAAACAACAACAACAAAAGGAGGGCATGGCTCTCCCAGAGCTCCCCCGCAGAGCCCACAAAGGCCTCAAAGGGGGCAGACGCACAAGCCCAGAAGCCGACCCAAAGGACGACTAAGACTGACAGCACTTTCACCACTGCACAGGCCCCGCTGAACCGGCCTCTCTCATCAGGAGAGGCAGCTCTGAAGTTCAATGGTCAAGAAGCCTGACCCTGTGCCCTGGTGGGCCAGGCGGCTGGAAACCATCTCTAGGCTCCTCCCCAGGGCTGGTGCTATAGAAATGATCAAACTGGAGGCGGAAAAGGAGGACATCACGGCAGCCCAGGAAGGCAGAGCCACACGAAGCTGTGGCTTTGTCCAGAGGGATGCCAGACGCTGCTGCGCCTCCTGCCCAGCGCCTGTCACAGCTCCACGTCAACCCCTGGCTTGGCTGTCATGTCACACCAGCTCCTGTCCTTTCCGTGCCTCAGTGCTTTCCTACCACGAGCGAGCTGGGCTCCGATTCTCAGCTGCATCTACAAATCTACAACTCCCTGAAGCTCTCAGCATGGGTCATACAGACATGTATGACTTCTCCCATGGGCAGATGGGAGCCGTAGTCTCTGCTACCCCGGCCCTTCCATCTCGTCAGCTGTTCCCCTGGCAGAATGAGTGACTCCGAGTGGAGAGCCAGCACTCTTCCTCGCTGAGCCTCGGTTTCCTCATCTGGACCATGAAGAGGCGGGAGTCTAGTTCTAAGGGCTCTCCCAGCTCTTGGTGTATAAAACCATTCAAGGAGGAAAAATCCTACAAACCCCAGGGCCTGCTGGGAGCAAGTTTCTCCAGCCCCCAGGTCAGGCTGGGAAAGTACCTTGAACTGCCGAAGGTCCCAGATCTTGAGGGCCCCATCATCCCCACCACTGAGCAGGAAGGGCTCCCGGCGGCTCCAGCTGATGACATTGACATCCCCGTCATGGGCAGTGGCTGTGGTGAGCATGCAGGCCTTGCTAGGGACTGCCCGGATGTCCCAGATGCGAATGGAGGCGTCAGCTGAGCAGGAGGCAAACACCTGGGCAGGGCGGAGTCTGAGTGGCCCCGATGCCCCGCAGCCCACAGTGAAGCCCAGGCACCAGTGGTGGGCTACTAACTTTCACTGTCCCCCTTCCTAGCACTTGGCGTGGAAACTACATCTCCCCCAGGCTCCCAGCTCTTTTCCCTTGGACCCAGGATTCTAGGTTCGTCCCTGGCACGAACCCCATCAGAACTAGAGGAGCAGACCCCCAGCCCGCCCTCACCGTGTCCTCGGTCGGTGACCACTGCAGGTCCTCCACAGAGCGTGTGTGGCCCACGAATGGCCGCTGGTCCACGCGCCAGGAGCTGCCGTCTGTGGGTGTCCAGAGGTGGATGTTCTTTTGACAGTCACCGGTCAGCAGGCGACCTGGGGAAGGGAGTCAGGAAATGACCTCGCCCCTACTGCCTGCAGTTCGCTCCCCTCTCTGGAGTCTAAGTGCCCCCGCCTTGATGCAGACCCTGCTCCCCCCACCTCCCGGGGACTCCTGAACACCGCAGAGACTCACCAGGCACCCGGGGGGACCAGTCAAGGGCAAAGCCCTCGCCCATGTGCCCCGCAAAGGAGAAGATGGGCTTCATTTGGGCCTGCTCATCCCGGAGGAAGGCTGCCAGGGCCTGGGGGTCCTCCACCACCTGTAGAAGCCGCCGCAGCGCAAACACCTCCACCTGGCCCTTCTCTGACCACACCCCAGCCACAGGCTCTTCACCCAGCCATGATACCTGCAGAAGAGTGAGGGGGAAGGCTGATGAGAAGCAAGGGGAGAGGAGGATCAGGGTACTGACTGCAAGCTCCCCATATCCCAGAGAACCAGAGGCACAGTTCCTCTGATCTCGCAGGGCAGGGACTGTAGTTCCTAGAAACCTCTGTGGGAAGGAAGCCACAGCCTGCCAAACCAGCGTGGTAACTTGGACGGCTCTCCACGGGGTGGGGGTTGGGGGGGATGGGAGTGGGTGGGGGAGCTCAGGTGGGAGGACAGAGCTCCAAGATGCCTGGGAGTCGAGGCTGTAATTCCCGCCAGCCCACGGGAGTCTTTTCAGGCTCCTGGCCTCTGTAACCCTCTAAACGCTGGGAGGCCGCAGGT